TGCCAGTTTTTAGTTGGCAGTGGTTAACCTAGAAACTCCCTTAGTTTAAAACAAACCAAAAATACAAATGGTTTGGGAAGCCTTGTTTGTGGTCTCCACTTCCCCTCAGTGGGTCTTACAGATGCTACTAAAAACATTAGAATAATTCATGTTAACTAGGTTGATTAACAGGGGGAAAAAAACTGAAGGGAAATTCTAGAGACTTTTTCCCAACCAGGTGGAAATTTTAAAGGGAAGTGTCCCAAATTAATAAAGAAATCTTTAGATGGTTATTTTTAAATGGAGTAAATAAAATGGAAATTAATGGGATTAAATCAAAGGTTTGATACAGCACTACCTGAGGTTGGATGGGCCAAAGGGATCCCTTGCTGTCCCCAACATTACAGGGCCCCAGACAAGTCCACTCTGTTTACCTCAGTGTTTTATTTGTTTGTTTATATTTATGTATTTATATATTTAAAAGGCTGGAAGAAAATTACACTCAGATACCTGACCAACAGTTACTTGGGGCAACAGGCCAATAAAGTTAAAAGATTGAGAAAAGGGCTTGAAACCCTTGGCTCAACCCCCCCACTGGGGATCCCAGAGCGTTTTATACAAAAATAGATATAATGGTCAGGATAAAAAGAAAGGCTTTTAGGACTCCTTGTAAGACCTACACTTGTTGATTGAGTCCTCATGGAAACTAAAGTTAAAAGAATAAAAGTTGATAGAATTGAGATGAAAATTTATAAAAGTGTACCCATTTTAAGTGGGCTTTATATAAGATGGTTACATCTCTTTTGCTTAATTATATCGTGGAATAGACATGTTTTGCTGGTGAATGCTTCCCCTGCTTGGTATTATAAGGCAGGGCATATGAATTTGCCCCTAAGGAAATATTAATTAAACATGCTAAAGGAAACCAGTAGCATTACCTGAGCCCATACAGTATAAAGTAAAACTGAGAAAGAGGGCCTTTGTTGAATGCCTTATGCAAGCTTTTGAAGGCATGATAAATTAAGCCCTGAAATCCTAGAACACAGAACTCCCAAATTGCAGTTTAGTTGGAAATCTTCTCACTGATATAAAAAAGGAAATTAAAGAAAACATAGTTGGGCAAATTAATCTTTTAATTTGGTGTCAGGTGACAGACCCGTTCTTTGTGGAATTAAAAGCAACATCTTTGTCTTGCAAATCTCTATAAATCAGAAATGTAAATACAGCCCACAATGATCTGAGACTGAACCTAATTAGCTCAGTCAGGTTTCAGAACCTGAAACCAACGAGGGAAAAAGGAAAAAAGTGGCCTTTTTAAACTCAAACCACTGGAAAGGCTCCCTCAGCCAAAATCTAATTCATAGCCTCCTTAAGGGTTTATCAAGGACAAATTCAAATATTAAAAGTCTTTTCCACAAATAGTAAAGCCTTTGTCATCTGAGCAAAGAAATTTAACTTACTCCAACTGTTATAAATAACTAGTAAATTTACATTGTAGTACAAGAATCATAATTAAGTTTTTAAAGTGAAGCTATGAGATCTCTAAATTTGTCTATTTATGTGTCTGTGTAGACATTATATGTATGAAATATCTCTATCTCTGGGAAATATTATCAAAATTAAATTTATAAAGAGCTCTATTTAATTGACTTAAAAGTAAGTGCTTACAAATTAAATATTTCTAAATATGAAAGAAACTGGCCGGAAGGAATTTCAGGGTCACATGATCTAGGAAATATTCAATATTAAATTAACGTCTGGTATTAAAGCTAGCTTAAGTTTGCTGGTTTAATCAATGTAGACATATCTTACTTTTATAATAAAAGTAAGTTTACCGAAGGTCAACATGTTCATGTTATTTCTGTTACAGAGTTTGTCAGCAAAAAAAAAAAAAATTTTTTTAACTTGGTATGGTAGTATTTTCATAAGTTATAAAATAAAGGGGAATGGGATGAGAGTTTTTAGGTGAACCCTTTAGGAATAATTATGTTTGGGGTATGTTTATTTAAAATAGTTTCTCCAGATTTTTGGTAAGTTGAGTTTTGCTAAGTTAAATTAAATGGCAGTTCACTGAATATCCAGGTCATTTCAAATAAGATAAAATACTGGAACACTAATTGCTGAACAGATCTAAATTTACCTACTTTTGTCTCCTTACGAGAGGGAAACTAAAGATGTTTGGGTTTATTAGACCCATATCTTATACCACATTGAGGAAAGAAATTATGTTATATGTTTCTAGAGGTTATAGGATATTCCAATAAGGAAATGCTGGTATGACAGTTTACAGTTACTTGCTGATTGTCGATTTTTGGTAGAGAGTAAGGTTTTTAAGGGTTAAAGGTGGAATATGTAATTAAAGTTACTAAAAATAATAAGGGGAACATTTCAATATGCAAGGAAAGTAGGATGGGTGTTTTCAGCAAAAGAAGGTGTGAGGAATGAAAATACATTTTGTTAAGGGGAAAAAATGATTGTCCTAGAACTGGTTATTTTTGGATGGAAAAATATAGGATAAACTAATACGTATACAAGAAGTCTTAGAAGGGAGACTTTCTGTAGAAAGTAGACTTTCTGTAGAAAGGGAGCCCTGAAAAAGGAGTTTTGTACATAGTCAGGCTGGGATTAGATTAAATTTAATTAGGTAAATGGATTTTGTTATTAAAAGTAGGCTGGTGCAAAACTGGATTTGGTTCCTCTCTTTGTTAAGAGAACAAAGTTTTCTTGGAGTATTGCTATTGGAAACAGATTGTGTGAGTTTCTTTGCCTTTAAGTGATCTGTATTTGTTTTTTGAAGTACTGTTTCACAATAACCTATGATCCTATTTGACCAAGTGTTTTGAAACCTTTTTGATGTTTTTGACAAACATCCCAAATATGAAATTCTTTTTTTTTTAATAGTTCCGCTAACATCTTTTTTTTGGCTGCGTTGGGTCTTCGTTGCTGTGCGCGGGCTTCTCTAGTTGAGAAAGTGGGGGCTACTCTTCGTTGTGGTGTGCGGGCTTCTCATTGAGGTGGGTTCTCTTGTTGTGGAGCAGGGCTCTAGGCACACGGGCTTCAGTAGTTGTGGCACGTGGGCTCAGTAGTTGTGGCTCACAGGCTGTAGAGTGTAGGCTCAGTAGTGGTGGCGCATGGGCTTAGTTGCTCCACGGCACGTGGGATCTTCCCAGACCAGGGATCTAACCTGTGTCCCCTGCATTGGCAGGTGGATTCCTCACCACTGCACCACCAGGGAAGTCCCCCAAATATGAAATTCTAACTAAAGTTCTTTTGACCTCCAGCTAACTCTGGGATGCTTTGAAGGAACCCTGAGACATCTCAGAGAAGAATATTAAACTAATTAGGCTTATTTGGTATGTTAAATTACTTGAGAAGCATCATCAAGTGATTGGAGATGAACCATAGGTTATAGTGTATAGATAAATGTCATTAATACAGATATTCCAAAATTTATATGGAATACCTAAAAATCTGATGTGCCCTGGTATAAGTTATCAGTCATAAGTCTAATTATCTTAAAATGTATGTCACATAAGTATCCAAGTTTCTTGTCAATTGCATTGTAATCAGATCTTTAACTGTGCCATTTTAAGTCTTGTCGTTTGTAAACAATCATTGTTTTACTCTGATGCTTTTATAAAATGAAGATCTTAAAGAAGATTCGTAAAAATGACTTTTGGACAAATATAAGTTTCTGATAATTTTCAGATCATACCACTGAACTGGGTAAGATATTACAGAATTCGGGTGGGAGACCTGATGACTGCATTCAGATCTTCAGGAATTAATTACATGAGACTAAATGAACTGATGAATATGATTTATAATTTTATCACTTTTTCTGAAATATACTGGATTTTAATCCTTGTTTTCCAGGAAAACAGGAAAAGCTTTCCTCTTATGCTATGACCTACAACAAGTTGATAAAGTATACCTTTGTAAACAAAGATGAAATTTATATCATTTTCTCTCTGCCTGATCCTTCCAGAATTTGGCTTCTCCATCTGGCTCCCCTGTGAACTTGATGGTTTACTGCAACCAGATTACAACTAGTTATACTAATCATTGCTTTAATTTGTTCTCCTTGTTTTCAATTTGTTTATACTTTCTGTCTCTGCTGTACTATGACTTTATTAATGTATAAAGCTGTATTAGTTGTGTTACCTACATCCTGTCTGTTTTATAAGATTACCGTCTACTGGGGAATTCCCTGGTGGTCTAGTGGTTAGGACTCCAAGCTTTTACTGCTGAGGTTGCAGGTTCAATCCCTGGTCGGGGAAGATCCCACAAGCTGCACAGCGTGGCCAGGAAAAAAAAAAAAATTGTTGTCTTTTGCATTACCCAATGTGTAACCAGGTCTCCAGCAAAATTAATGATGGCTAAAAGTCTTCAGACCGTTGATTATATATACATAACCTACATAAAATAACTGTAATAGTACAACTCTAGTTATGGGAAGAAGCAACAAGGGAAAACATTTCCTGGATCAAAAGAGACTAGTAAGACAGGTGATCCAGAGAAGTTTAGATTATCAACAGGGCCTAATCCAAAAATTAACACATTGAGTATAGCCTATCAACAGAATCTTCACCTGATCTAGGAATGAGCCTTCCTAGCACCATGGGACAAAATTGGTCATGAAATGCTTCCCAAATGATGGTTGGATTTATGAGCAAGGCGAGGCACTGTGGATGAAAAATGTTGCCTGCCATATCAGTAAACGAAGGATGCTGCAGCCACCAGCCACTGCAGCCACCCTCAGCTATGCACTCGGAGGGGATTCAGGGTGGAGAAAAGCAGGACACCGGTCCTAGATAGTTAAGGTGCATATCAAAGGAATGATTTCAGTGAGCCCAGACCCTTGCATCTTCCCATACATAGTAAAGCGCTAAATTCATTAACTTGAGATGTCTGGTTTTCTTTAACAGTAATCTTTTGATGTTCCAACTACCTGGTTTTTGTTGCAAAACTCCTGTATATCTTGGCTCCTCCCTTACCTCTTCGGAGCAGTCTCTCAGACGATCTGAGAGGCTGTCCTCCAGGCTTAAGTCGTCAGAAAATCCACTGAATAAAACATAATTCTCAACTTTTAGGTTGCACTTTTTTTTTTTCAGTCTACAAGTAGGAAGCTTCTCTTTGTGGAAGGTATTCAGAGTTTGTTGACTGAAGTCAGAGGAACTGTGTACTAATATGCCTTGCTCTGAGACCATAAGATCTCAAATTACTTAGCTCCTCTGAGCCTGTTTTCCTCATCCACAACATGAGAATTATAAGGATAAAGTAACAGGTGTGAAAATAGTAACATGTTGTATAAATATTATTACTGATTTTTTCCCCTAAACCCCAAATAAAAGACTGAACTTCTAATCAACTGAATGAACTTCTAATCAAGGATAGGTAACTAAGGGTACCAATCATTGTTCCTAATGCAGTTGTTATAGAAATCTGCCCCTCTTTTTCCTCTAATTTTCTTTTTCTCTCCCTCCTTAGGTTCAATATTGACCCACAGGCACACTGCTTAACTCTTCTAGATGCCACTCAAAACCAACAAGATTGCCGACCTCTGTGCTAATGAGTGTGTGTGTGTGTTCAAAATTGATCCACCTTTACATCTGCTTCCTTTTATTTCTGGTTAACCAGAATTCATCTGAGTACTTGAATGAATTAATATAAAGGACTAGACATTACTCTTTCATTATTTGAATTTAGAGTTTATGTTTAGATTTTTTTAAAAAACATCTGTTTCCTGTTTATTAGTCTATAAAGTCAATGAAGACATCTGTTATGTCTGGTTTTGCTCATCATCCCCTGTGCCTAACACAGTGCCTGGCACTCAGATGTTTCTTGACTAGAAAGTTATATAGGAAGGAATCACATTTGCCTTACACTATACTAGCAGAAAAGTAATACCTGAGGTTGCAGCTTTGTCTTTTAAGTACCTAGATGTCTTAAGTGGCTTAGGATAAAAAAGACAGCATGGGGTAAGACAGCATGAGATTTGGAGTCAGAAGACCTGGATCTGAATCCTGACTCTGCCAGAGACTCTATGACCTTAGGCAAGACATTAGGCAAAAGCTTAGGCTTTACCTTTCCTAGGCTTGATTTTCTTATCTAAAAAGGTGAATAATACCACGATGCCTTGGTAGTATATAAAGTATCTAGTATAGTACCTTGTGTTTGATTAGTAGTTTATACTAATTAGCAGTTATTTCACATAATACATAGTAATGGCAATAAAGTTGTATATAGACAGAGTTCTCCCCCAAAGAAAATACTTTTTAATAAATTCATCAGCAGTAGATAGAAAAGAACCATTCTGTGTCTAGGTTAAAAATTGGGAATTTATTGAAATAGGACATTTATTTCAAAAATGAGAACAATGTCCTAGGTCTTTTGTGTTGATACCACTAAATACTTCCGGATTTAAAATCCGATTCACTGATTGATTCAACAATAAAATACTGTGAGCCAACTATTTTCCAAGCACTGTTTTAGGTACTAAAGATACAGATGAAAGACACAGTCCAGGCCTCATGGCACTTACATTCTGGTTCAGAGAGACAAGCAGTAAACAAGATAATTCAGATTAGAACTGAGAACTGTGTAGGAAATAAACTGTGGATATGTAAGAGTGGGAGGACAGAAAGCTACTTTAGACGGGGGTATATGTCTAAAAATTATCACAGCTCTGTGAAAGATTTCTGAGCAAGAAGGAGAGTTGCTGGACAGTTTCTGCTCTCCAGTAATTAGAGATGTGCCAGCAATACCCAAAGCTTTCTTTTTTTTTTTAATAAATTTATTTATTTACTTTGGGCTACTTTGGGTCTTTGTTTCTGTGCGCAGGCTTTCTCTAGTTGAGGCGAGCGGTGTCTACTCTTCGTTGCGGTGTGCGGGCTTCTCATTGTGGTGGCTTCTCTTTGTTGCGGAACACGGGCTCTAGGCGCATGGGCTTCAGTAGTTGTGGCATGCGGGCTCAGTATCTGTGGCTCACGGGCTCTAGAGCGCAGGCTCAGTAGCTGTGGCGTACGGGCTTAGTTGTTCCGCGGCATGTGGGATCATCCCAGACCAGGGCTCGAACCCGTGTCCCCTGCATTGGCAGGTGGATTCTTAACCACTGCGCCACCAGGGAAGTCCCCCCCAAAGCTTTTGATGTATATTATGTTATGATGTTAGACTGACTCTTAAAATTTTGGCCTACTAAAAGACAGCAAACATTTACTGAATGTTTACTACGTACAGAATAATGTTAGAGACTTTTCAAATAAAAGAATCAGGGGCTCAGGGACTTCCCTGGCAGTCCAGTGGTTAAGACTGCCCTCCCAATGCAGCGGGTATGGGTTCGATCCCTAGTCAGGGAATTAAGATCCTGCATGCTGCACGGCGTGGCCAAAATAAAAAAAGAATCAGGGGCTCAGACAAATCCTTTATCTTGCTTGAAATTACAGAATTCCCAAGTAGAAGAGCTGGAACTGTATTACAAATAGATGGGGGGAAATGCTTTAGAAGCTAAAATGTGACGCTTCTCTTAGTTACTACAAAAAAACCTGCCTTCTCTTTTCAGATTTCTTCACCACCGCAACCAAGGAAGGATATGATATGAGGCCAGTGGACATAACTCCTTTAGAACAAAGGAAATTAACGTTTGATACGCATGCATTGGTTCAGGACTTGGAAACTCATGGTGAGAAACATGGGTCCCTTTTGAAAGAATATCAACAGCACTCATAACAAATTACCTAGTCAAGACAACACCACCATTATGAACAATTAAGAGTCACTGTTTAGGTTGCTTCCATGTCCTGGCTATTGTAAATAGAGCTGCAATGAACATTGTGGTATATGACTCTTTGAATTATGGTTTTCTCAGAGTATATGCCCAGTAGTGGGATTGCTGGGTCGTATGGTAGTTCTATTTTTAGTTTTTTAAGGAACCTCCATAGTGGCTGTATCTATAGGAATAGAAGAGTTGATTTAATGGAATAGAATGGTATTCAGAAACGTGTGTCTTAGAAAGCAATAAAGAAGGCATTACAAATTAGGGAAAGGAAGGACTGTTTAATAAATGAGCTATGATAAATGACTAGCCATTGGAAAAAAATAGATTCCCTTACTGAAAAATAAATTCCAGATTGATTAAAAGCTAAATGTAAAACAAAGACAGACTACAAAAAATATTATAATATAGAAATATTTTTTGACTTTTAGAGTAAGGAAGCAAGACAAAACTCAGAAGCAATGAAAGTAAAAGTAAAGACTGACAGATGTGACTACAGAAATATTTATTTAAATCTGTGTATCAAAGGATATGATCCGTAAGGTTAAAAATGTTAGCAACACATATGACAGTGAGCCTATTGCTTTAATATACAAAGAATTCATATGAATCAATAAGAAAAGTTAAGCAGTTTTATAGAAAAATGGACAAAGGCCATAAACAGCTCACAGAAAAATAAATTACCAATAAATGTATGTAAAGATGCTTAATCAAGGAAATGCAACTTTTAAGTATAAATTAAAATAATAATGCAGTACCATTTTAATGCCAATTATGCACTCAAAAAAGACTAGTAATACCCATGTTGATGTAAATGTGGGGAAATGGATCAGTGGAATTAAAATTGGAGAGTGCTTTTTAGAGAGTAATTTAGCATAATCTGTCGATTTTTAATTATAACCATTTTTTTAAAAGACTGCAGTTGACCCTTGAACAACACAGGGGTTGGGGCACCAACCGCCTGTGTAGTCAAAAATCTGCATGTAACTTTATAGTGGCCCTCTGTATCCGCAATTCCACATCCACAGCTTCAAGCAACCACAGATTGTGTGGTATGGTAGTATTTACTGTTGAGAAAAATCTGCATCTAAGTGGACCCACTCAGTTCAAATCCGTGTGTTCAAGAGTCAACTGCATGAAAATTTAAATGATAGAAGTTATTCTAGCTGTCTATTTTGAGAAGGATGTGCACTTTTTAAAAAATATAAATACCTATTTGCCGCTTGTAGGATTTGACAAAGCACAAGCAGAAACAATTGTATCAGCATTAACCATTTTATCAAATGTCAGCCTCGATACTATCTATAAGGAGATGGTCACTCAAGCTCAACAGGTAATGTTTTCATTTTTATCACTTCTGACAGTTTCATTAGACAATTATTTTCATAACTGCATCTCTGTTTAGCCACCCACCTTCTAAACACACCTGCATCTTCCTTATTATTCTCTCTAAAGGAACCAAAAACGAAAAACGTGTAGCAAAGTCAGTATCCAGAGAGACTGAGGAGTTAGAATAGTCATCACAAAATTATGGTAACACAAAGAGTAAAATTTTGTCAGATCTTTCATTGTGTAAGATAATTATATTATTTGAGTCATGGGATGGTGGTAGGTTGTTAGTGAAACAACTTTTTCCACATAGAAAGCCCACCACAGTAGAAGAGCTGACCAGTTTACTGCAGTCATGTGTATGTTCTGGTTAATTTTCACAAAGTTGGAAAGCTGGAAGGGACTTACATACATGCCTGGGAAGGAGTTCATAAATCACCTAAGATGCTTTAATCTGACCAGATACCTGAATCCTTAAACGCCAAGTAATACCATTTACTAAGAACTTAAGAAGTGAGAGGCAGTGCTGGGGACTGCTCATATATGATCTTATTTAATCTCTCTAACAACCTTGAAAAGTTGGTAGAATTATTCTATTTTACCACTGAAGAAAGGATCAGAGAGGTTCAGTAATTTGCAAGAGTTGTCATTGTGGTGCTATGGACAAAAAGCAATAATTTTATATGAAGGATAGAATAAGCTAAATGAACTTAACTGTAGAATAATAATTCATAATCTGTCAATCATGAATTAATTACTGTGTTTAAGAATCTGTTTTCTTTCTCTGGTTATATTTTTTTAATTTTAATTTTTTAAATTTAGGCTTTCTTCTTCAGATAAATATTTCACAGCAGAGAAATATTAGGATTTCTTTCTTACATAAAATTAGGAGCTCTTGCATAAAATGTCATTACTTCAAAGGTCATGAAAGAGTGAAATTTTTAAAAGATTTTTTCTGTAATATCCAAATAATTATGTATTTAGAATTAAAAGCATTCAGCCCCTAGATTTAACTTAACTTTAGATTTGTATGTGTATTGTTTTAGCTAAATTTATTCAGGATCATAACAGACTATTAATATTAAATCCACCAAAGAAAAAGCCACTCATTTAATCCCCCCCAAACCTTTGAGCTATCCTGAAAGAGCTAATGGTACTCTTAAATCAGATTTTTAAGTTTCTCTGCAATATAATCAGTGAATTAAAACTGTTTTTTGAGGAATTTTTATGCTGCCAGGGCCATTTAATCTTACATTTAAAATGTAGGATTGGGGGCTTCCCTGGTGGCGCAGTGGTTGAGAGTCCGCCTGCCGATGCAGAGGACACGGGCTCGTGCTCCGGTCTGGGAGGATCCCACATGACGCGGAGCGGCTGGGCCCGTGAGCCATGGCCGCTGAGCCTGCGCATCAACGGGAGAGGCCACAACAGTGAGAGGCCTGTGTACCACACACACACACACACACACACACACACACAAAATGCAGGACTGGATGTAGGAACACTACTATTGAACTTTTGGGTTTTTTATTACTGGTGTATGAAATCAAAATCCCATTCCATCCTTGAGCCATAGGCCATGAGGCAAACAAGCTTCATACCTGATCACTTCAGAAAGAGCCATGCTAAGTCAAGTGTGCTCAGTCTGAGAATTCGGTTATATTCTGAATTTGCTTATAGTCTGAATAACATTCATATTCTCTGGTGGCGCCACAGTAGTTACAATGATCACACTTTGAATAGATTTGACTGTATTAAATTTTTCCACTTAAAGTTTTTGAAGATGGACATACGTGCTATCTTATAGGCTTTTTGAGTCCCAAACTGTTTAGAGGCGGAAAGGGAGGTAGAAAGAGTTTAGAGTCACAGCACAGTAACTCCTTATTCTCAGGTTCAGAGTCTATAAGAAGTATGTAGTTACATTTTCTACTCTTCTCTATGTAGTTCTGGTAATAAAATAACATTTTATTAAAGACTTAAACAAAAATAATATTATAGTTAATGTCTTCGAACTCCTTCATAATGATATTTGGGGGGAACAAGACCGACAACCCCTAGAGGCCACTTCTGTATGACTTCTGAGGTAATTCTCATGAATATTTCAAGCAGAACTGCATAAAAGAAAATGAACCTCCCTCCCCAATAATATAGATGAGGGATAGGGAAAGCATTAGAGTCAGGGATGTCTATTGTACACAGTAAAAAATACTTTTTAATTTTATGATAGGAATAATATTTAAAGCAAAACTCCCTCCACATCAAAACATTGGAGTCACACTGTCCTGCTTCAGCCATTAGACACCTGTCTCATGACATTCATCGAATGCTAACTGTGCACCAAGTATTACTGTAAGCATTTTACATGCATTATATCATTTAGTCCTCAAAACAACTCTATAAGATATAGGTAGTTTTTATTCTTATTTCAGCAAAGAGGAGGTCAAAGAAGCTAAATAATGTGCCCAAAGGCTCATAGTAAATGGCAGCGTTTGGATTCAAACCCAGGCAGCCTGACTCCAGAACTCACATTTTTAACCTCCAGTCTATGTGGCTGTGCCATCTGACCGCTGTTCTTAGAGAATATGTGTGCATTCCAGACCCTCTGAAGACTGAGTCATTCTGTAGCCATGCATCTGGAACTACTGTAGCCTCTGTTTTCTAAATGTCAAGGCAGTTTTGAAATAGCCTTTCTCACCCATATTGTGGTCAGTGGAGGACTGTAACCCCAACAATGCACTCCTAGCCACAAACTATGACAAAATGGGAGTTCCACTAGTCATTCTGTTCTTGTTTGGGTTTTTCTGTTTTGTTTATAAACCCTGTTATAGAGGGTCTTTTTCAAGGTTACACCTTCATCTACTTTTTCTTTTGATTAAAAAGAGATAAAAGATGAGTCAGCAAGCTACACGATTTTGAGAAGTTTAGTGGCTAACGTTATATTTGCCTTGTGAGACTGCTTTAAATCATTTCTACAAAAATGTCCCTCCCTAGCAAAGTAAACGTTTATAAGTCTATCAGATAGGGCTTCCCTGGTGGTGCAGTGGTTAAGAATCCGCCTGCCAATGCAGGGGACCCAGGTTCGATCCCTAGTCTGGGAAGATCCCACATGCCACGGAGCAACTAAGCCTATGCACCACAGCTACTGAGCCTGTGCTCTAGAGCCCGCTAACTCCTGAAGCCTGCGCACCACAACTCCTGAAGCCTGCGCACCTAGAGCCCGTGCTCCGCAACAAGAGAAGCCACTGCAATGAGAAGCCCATGCACCACAACAAAGAGTAGCCCCCGCTCACTGCAACTAGAGAAAGCCCACACGCAGCAATGAAGACCCAACACAGCCAAAAATAAATAAAATAAATTTTAAAAAAAGAAGGAAAGAACTTGTGTGGTGATGGAGGTGTTAACTAAAAACTTAAAAAAAAAAATCTATCAGATAGGGGCCACCTTTTCTTTCACAAATTCTTTGTAGTGCCAAATATAGGAAAGATACTCAGGAATTTAAACCAAACTATGTTATACTGACAATTATTTAAACCATACTTCTATTTTATTACCTGACTTCTAAGTCTTATTCAGTATCCTAGAAATTTCTGATGGTAGAAGATCCTTCAAAATCAACTTCCCTGGCGGTCCAGTGGTTAAGACTCCATGCTTCCACTGTCTGGGGTGCAGGTTCGATCCCTGGTCGGGAACCAAGATCCCGCAAGCCGTGCAGCCAAAAAATAAAAATTAAAAAAAAAAAAAAAAAAAGCAAAGCAATGAAAGATAAAAACTTTCCCACGTAGATATTTTTAAAATAAATAAACAAAAAAAAAAGAGTATTTGCTGAGGAGCTCTTGGAGGTTAAGTAAGAATTTAATTGGGATTCTTTCATTGAAAAGACCTAGACATGTGTTTCTCTTCACTGGGAAATACTTTTTCTTCCTTGAATCTCCTACTTCTTTTAATTTTGATATTTCAGATATATAGGTTTCATTTGTTTTGTTTTTTACTTAGCCAAGCAACATTATACCTTGTAGCAAGACAATAATTTTTTAAAATTTTCATGAACAATTCCATGCAATGGGATGGCATCACTCAGTTATTTTAATTTTTCATTTTAGGAAATAACAGTACAACAGTTAATGGCTCATTTGGACTCCATCAGGAAAGACATGGTCATCCTAGAGAAAAGTGAATTTGCAAATCTGCGAGCAGAGAACCAGGTGATGCAAGTCTCAATTTATTACTAATAAAATAACTGATTTCATAAGTATTCTACTTGGTGAAGAATAGGACCCCAAAACAATTTCATGTGGTTATTAAATAATTATTAGCAAGTTTTTAGATAAAACTATACATGTTTAACCATACCTAATCTATGTATACATCATAGTTTCTTGCATACTAAAGAATGACAGTTGTATCTTAAACAGGTCACATAAAAGGAAATCTTTGATCTACATATATTTTATTAAATTTCTAGTGTAGTTCAGAATAATGTTCTCAGAACTGACAGTAATGTAGCATTTTCCATTTTTTTGGTTCTGTAATAATTATTTTGTCACTTAAGAGAAAAATGTTTCTGTAATTCAGTCAGAACTTTGTTGTTACCCACTAGCTTAAAATATTTTAAAATTTAGAATATCAATCTTTTTTTATTTTTAAGTAGAATACAGTAGGTCCCCCTTTATCTGCATTTTCGCTTTCCACAGTTTTAGTTACTTGTGGTCAACTGCAGTCTGAAAATATTAAGTGGAAAATTCCAGAAATAAACAATTCATATGTTTATGTCACACTGATCTGAGTAGCATGATGAAATCTTTCACCGTCCCACTCCATTCCCCCCAGGACATGAATCATCTCTTTGTCCAGTGTATCCACACTGTATATGCTACCTACCCATTAGTATAAGAAAAAACATAGTACATATAGGGTTCAGTACTATTCGAGGTTTCATCCACTTGGGGTCTTGGAACATATCCCCAGTGGATCAGGGGGGACTACTGTATTGAAACATAAATACATTGTCTAATGTTATGTTCGTAATTATTTTCTGAATACGATGAACTATTAGTTCTTTTTTTGTCTTTATTCTTTATCAGATAATGTATTAGAAATCCACAGAATGTCCAATTTTTGCTTATGCAAGGTTTCAGATTTTTTTTAATAAATCATAATATGGACTTTGATTTAACACCAATTGTGTGTGATCTTTCTTTATACCTAGAAAATGAAAATTGAATTAGAACAAGTTAAGCAACAACTGATAGTAAGTGAAACTTTTTTCCCCACTTCAGAATAGTTCATTAATTTCAGAACAAATATTCATTACAAGATCACTTTCTTAATTTTTTTTTTTCTTTAAAGAATGAAACCAGTCGAATCAGAGCAGATAATAAACTGGATATCAACCTAGAAAGGAGCAGAGTAACAGATATGGTAATATGCTTTTAAATGTACTTTTTTGCACTTACTCCTTTTTAATTCCTTTTAGTCTTTTTTTTAACCTCTTGATAAACCATATCGTTTAGTTTACAGATCAAGAAAAGAAACTTATGGAGGCAACCACAGAATTTACCAAAAATGTAAGCTGCTATGTAAAAGTTTCTCTTCTGTATAGCTCTCATGGCTTATGTAACTGCCTTTATATGTATCATTTTATAAGTTTGGACTTCAACAAGCTAGCCCTATAGATTCCATGATTTCCTCATAGCTGTTATAGTTAACCAGTACTTTGGGGGAAGCTGCTACCAGGTGGAGGGGAGTACCTGAGCTGTGACTTCTGAGTCAGAATCAAGCTTTCCAGGTAGCATACTTTTTTTTAACTAAATTATTTTTATATGGAAGAGAACTATTTTTTTAAGAAGACAAGGATTCACAATTAGTATTTAATGAATGCCTAGGTTCAGTCAAATAAAAAATTTTTATGTTAGATACTGTTTTATTTGCCTTTTTTGTCTGTTAATTTATTTAATCCTCATATCAGCCTCTGTGTGAGGTAGGCACTCTATTCCCATTCTACCAATTTGGAAAGTGAGGCAGAAGGAAGTTAAGGTCACACAACTAAAAAGTGGTAGAGCCAGATGTCAACCTGGATTCTAAATTCCATACTCATAACTACTGTTTACCTCTCAGTAATCCTAAATTGTGATCATTAATTAATCTCTGTGGCTGAGTAAAACCTAGCTTTCTGACTCAGCCTAGTCCTTTTCTTAAAGGTTAAGAAGTCACTCGGTCTACAGTCTAACATAAGAGACATCACTCTTGATTATAATTCAGTAGACGCGAAGGTCCCATTTGCTGTTCTAAGCAGCCTATATTCTCTAACTTCTTGGCCAGATAAAGGAGATAAACAAGGAAATCAACAAATTCTCTCCTAGCTAATTTCTGAGCTATAAATATCATCTTATTTCTCTTTCTACCCCTTAGTCCCTATGCATATAGCATTCAGTGTTACCCAACAAGCATTTCTGCCATCTCCTTTAATATTGGTGCCAGTTCATATTATAAACCCAGTTGGTTTTTCCTTTTGCAAAATATATTTAAAGTTTTAACTATGATATCCTAAGGACTTTATACAAATAAGGTGATAGTTCTGTGACTAACATTTTTGCTTCTTAGTTTATCCTCATATATTTAGGTCTCAAATACAGGCATACCTCAGAGGTATTGCAGGTCCACTTCCACAACAGCAATAAAGCAAATACTGAAATAAAGTAAGTCACACAAATTTTTTGGTTTCCCAGTGCATATAAAAGTTATGTTTACAATATACTGTAGTTTATTAAGTGTGCAGTAGCACTATATCTAAATAAACAATATCTATACCTTAATTTAAAAATAACTGCTACAAAGATGCTAACCATCTTCTGAGCTGTCAGTGCGTGGTAATCTTTTGCAATAGTAACATCAGAGATCACTGGTCACAGATCACCATAATAAATATAGTAATAATGAAAAAGTTTGAAGTATTGCAAGAATCACCAAAATGTGACACAGAGACATGAACTGAGCAAATGCTCATGGAAAAATGGCGCCGATACACTTGTTTGACTCAGGGTTGCCACAAAGTTTCAATTTGTTTAAAAACAGCATGCAGCATCTTCGAAGCACAATAAAATGAGGTATGCCTGTATCTTCCTGTGAGGTTTTTAGTAGAATGTGCCCAGAATGTGATAATCCTAAGAAATAGTCTCCAAATATCAAAGTAGAAGGAATACTTTTTGTCAATTTGTAATATTCATGTAGTGTTATTTTTTCTTTTTAATATCACTGTGCTTTTTTACTGTTTCCCCACTTAAAACTTTTGTTACACAAAATTAGCCCATAAGTGAGGATTTCTAAAGTAAACATTTTTCTCCATGATACACAGGGACAAAATTTAATTGTCTTATTCTTAATTACTACAGGATACCAAAACCAGAGGTATTATTTCAGAGACCGGTAACAAAATTGACACTGAAATTGCTTCTTTAAAAACCCTAATGGAGTCTAACAAGCTTGAGACAATTCGTTACCTTGCAGGTAAGGCTGTGTTTGTCAGAGAAAGGAATTACTGTCATTTGATTTTCGGACTTATTAGCTCCTACCTCCCAAGGTAGCCATGGGGCACAGAAGAAAAACAGGAGGAGCTGTAACAGATCTCCTTTATTGTTTGGTTCCCTGGAGTACTTGGAAAATGTAAGTTTAATAGGCAGTAAATTTAGGATATAAGTTTAACAGGCAAACTCTGCATCCTCCTAATGGGAAAAAGCATATGGATGTCAAAGATAAACATAAACACAAGTACATTAGGAAAAAGCATATGGATGTCAAAGATAAACATAAACACAAGTACAAAACGATGCAAAGATACACTGGGTATTCCACAATGAAAAAAACGAAAATTTTTAGATAAAGATCACCAAAATAGATATAGACCATTAAAAACCACAGCAAGCAAAGGGGCAAAAACTACCTCCTATCTTGAATCCAACTGACAGAGCAGGGATACTACCCAAAATTAGATTATTTGTCACATACTGAGTTCCTTAAGTACCATGTGACCTGACCAATTTACACAGCCCCAAGGAGTTAGAAAGAATGCCCTAGTCGAGTAGTACATTTTTCTTTGTATAAAAAAGTAATACATTTTCATCCTAAATTGTTCATATAATTCAAAAGCAATATAGTAAAAGTGAAAGCCTTCTCCCTCCCCATGTGTATTTACTATTAGTAGTATATATCTTTCTAGGCTTTTCCTTCTATATGTGAACATTGCAGATTTTTTAAACAGTAATTAGATGATACTGTACAGAGTACAACTTCTAAAAATTTAACCAAATGTTTTGATTATCTTTCCACATGAATACATATATAGACTTTTTTTTTTTACTAGAAAACATACTATTCCATTGTATGAAAATACCATAATTTATTTATCCAAACCTCTATTAACAGACATTCTGCTCCCAACTGTTTTTATTAAAAACAATATTGCGGGCTTCCCTGGTGGTGCCAGTGGTTAAGAATCCACCTGCCAACACAGGGGACACAGGTTCAAGCCCTGGTCCGGGAAGATCCCACATGCCGCGGAGCAATGAAGCCCATGTGCCTAGAGCCCGTGCTCCGCAACAAGAGAAGCCCCTGCTCGCCACAACTAGAGAAAGCCCACATGCAGCAACGAAGACCCAATGCAGCCAAAAATAAATTTATTTTAAAAAATATTGGACCAAATAGCCCTATATATGTGTGAGTAAATACACACACACCCCTTTATGTCATCATGCTAGTATTTCTATATAATAAATTGCTTGTGCACATCTAAAAATTGGGGTCAAAAAGATAGGCACATTTAAAATTTTTATGTTATTGTCCAAAATAAAATTGCTGCTTTATACCATCAGTGATTTTCTGGGTAGGCACTAATGATGTTGAAGCGGCAGCAGGAGTAGAGATGGAGCCCCTAGCCCTCAGCTGATGCACACCCCGACTCCCCCTTCCTCTCTTCAACTTGAATGACTTAGCATCTAAGATCCATTTGAAGAAAGGGTTCTAAGGCTAAAACAAGAGTTGAAAACCTCTATTCTAGCAAAGTCTCTGGAACCAGAGATCATCTGTCCAATAGGAATGCTAACAGGAAATGCCAAATCAGCGCAGTCTGCAGTGTTCATTCCCACTTTCAAAATAGACCTCAAAGCACCCCAGGTTAGGAAGAGCTTTGTATTCCACTCAGCTTCTTCTAGTGTATTTACCTAAAGAGTTATCTTCCTTTCCTTTTTTCACTGAGGATTTACAACTAACAGTTCTGAAGGCACCACCCTTTATTTTTAAGAGCAACAGCAACTACCTTGGAGACAGGTACACATAGTGTTGAGTCCTGCTTCCACCACTTGCTAGCAGTAAAACTTTGGGCTTGTTGCCTCGTCTGTATGATGGGAATACTATCACCAACCTCATAGGGTTTTAATTATGGATAAATACGGTGATACATGAAATTCTTTAGCACACTATCTGGAACATGGTAAGTAGTAGCATGGTAAGTAGTAGGATCAAATGAGAGAACGTATAATTGACCAGTGGCAACAAGACAAGAAACTGTTTAAGTGTTATTCTTTCTCCTCAACTGTCCAGCTTCCCCCTGTGTCTCAGAGAGACCTAATCCCATTTCTTAAAATTAAGGAAATGATCTTGTCATTAATCAAGTTTCAGTAAGTAGTGTGACCAAATGGGATAATGTATAATTAGATTTACACATTAAAAATAGGATAGTCTTAACTATGAAAGGCTGTTTCTCATGTCTTTTTTTTTTTTTTTTTTTAATTTGGCTGCGTGCAGGCTTTCTCTAGTTGCGGCACGCGGGGGCTACTGTTTGTTGCAGTGCACGGGCTTCTCATTGCAGTAGCGTGTCTTGTTGCGGAGCACGGGCTCTAGGTGCATGGGCTCAGTAGTTGTGGCACGGGGGCTCTAGAACACAGGCTCAGTAGTTGTGGTGCACGGGCTTAGTTGCTCTGCGGCATGTGGGATCTTGCCGGACCAGGGCTCAAACCCGTGTCCCCTGCATTGGCAGGCGGATTCTTAACCACTGTGCCACTAGGGAAGTCCCTCTTGTGTCTTTAATCATAGAAGTTTGCTCTTCATCTCAGAGTCTCTATTTTAAAATCATGGCTGTTTAAACAGACTAGAATCTAGGGAGTCCCTAAAAGCCTCACCCAAATTCACCTTCTTAAGGAGAACAGAAAGGTTTTCTAATCAGTATGATGTAACATAGAGAACAGGTGGTATATTAACTGTTTAAAAAGCCTGATGCGGGCCTTCCCTGGCGGCACAGTGGTTAAGAATCCGCCTGCCAGTGCGGTAGACACGGGTTCTACCCCTGGTCTGGGAAGATCCCACATGCCGTGGAGCAACTAAGCCGGGGCGCCACAACTACTGAGCCTGCACTCTAGAGCCCGTGAGCCACAACTACTGAGCCCATGTGCCACAACTACTGAAGCCTGTGCTCCTAGAGCCCATGTTCTGCAACGAGAAGCCACCACAATGAGAAGCCCACGCACCGCAACAAAGAGTAGCCCCCCCGCTTGCCACAACTAGAGAAAGCCCACAGGCAGCAATGAAGACCCAACACAGCCAAACACAAATATATTAATAAATAAATAAATAAATAAAAAATAAAAAGCCTGATGCTTTCTCTGCCTTTTCTTCTACCTCATTGAGTTTTTTTTTAAAGGGCTTCCATTAAAATTTCATTTTTTATTTATAAATTTTTAATAATTATGAAATCACTTTTTCTTTTTGCCATTTTTTTTTAATAATTGCCTCACCATACTGTGTTAGTTTCTGTTGCACAACAAAGCGAATCAGCCATATGCATACACATGTACCCATATCCCCTCCCTCTTGAGCCTCCCTTCCATCCTCCCTTTCCCACCCCTCTAGGTCATTGCAAAGCACCAAGCCGATCTTCCCGTGCTATGCTGCTGCTTGCCACCAGCCAACTGTTTTACATTCAGTAGTGTATATATGTCGATGCTCCTCTCACTTTCTCCAAGCTTTGCCCTCCCACCCCGTGTCCTCAAGTCCATTCTCTATGCCTACCTCTTTATTCCTGCGCTACAACTAGGTTCATCAGTACCATTTTTTTTTTTTTTTAAGATTCCATATATATGCGTTAGTATAACGGTATTTTTCTCTTTCTGACTTACTCTGTATGACAGACTCTAGGTCCATCCACCTCACTACAAATAACTCAGTTTCATTTCTTTTTATGGCTGAATAATATTCCATTGTATATATGTCCCACATTATCTTTATCCATTCATCTGCTGATGGACACTCAGGTTGCTTCCATGTCCTGGCTATTGTAAATAGTGCTGCAATGAATATTGTGGTGCATGTCTCTTTTTGAATTATTGTCTTCTCAGGGTATATGCCCAGTAGTGGGATTGCTGGGTCGTATAGTAGTTCTATTTTTAGTTTTTTAAGGAACGTCCATACTGTTTTCCATAGTGTTGTATCAATTTACATTCCCACCAACAGTGTAGGAGGGTTCCCTTTTCACCACACTCTTTCCAGCATTTATTGTTTCTAACTTTTTTGATACTGGCCATTCTGACTGGCATGAGGCGATATACCTCACTGTAGTTTTGATTTTCATTTCTCTAATAATTAGTGATGTTTAGCATCTTTTCATGTGCTTCTTGGCCATCTGTATGTCTTCCTTGGTGAAATGTCTGTTTAGGTCTTCCGCCCATTTTTTAACTGGATTGTTTGTTTTTTTGATATTGAGCCCCATGAACTGTTGGTATAGTTTGGAGACTATTCCTTGGTCTGTTGTTTAATTTGCAAATGTTTTCTCCCATTCTGAGGGTTGTCTTTTTGTCGTTTATGGTTTCCTTTGCTGTGTAAAAGCTTTTAAGTTTAATTAAGTCCCATTTGTTTTTATTTCTGTTACTCTAGGAGGTGGTTCAAAAAGATCTTGCTGTGGTTTATGTCAAAGAGTGTTTTTCCTATGTTTTCCTCTAAAAGTTTTATAGTGTCTGGTCTTACATTTAAGTCTTTAATCCATTTGGAGTTTATTTTTGTGTACGGTGTTAGGTAATGTTCTAATTTCATTCTTTTACATGAGGCTGTCCAGTTTTCCCAGCACCACTTATTGAAGAGGCTGTCTTTTCTCCATTGTATGTTCTTGCCTCCTTTGTCATAAATTAGGTGCCCATATGTGCGTGGGTTTATCTCTGGGCATTCTAACCTGTACCCTTGATCTATATTTCTGTTTTTGTGCCAGTACCATACTGTCTTGATTACTGTAGCTTTGTGGTATAGTTTGAAGTCAGGGAGCCTGATTCCTCCAGCTCCGTTTTTCTTTCTCATGATAGCTTTGGATATTCGGGGTCTTTTGTGTTTCCATACGAATTGTAAGATTTTTTTGTTCTAATTTTGTGAAGAATGCCATTGGTAGTTTGATAGGGATTGCACTGAATCTGTAGATTGCTTTGGGTAGTATAGTCATTTTCACAATATTGATTCTTCCAGTCAGAGAACATGGTATATTTCTCCGTCTGTTTATGTCATCTTTGATTTCTTTCATCAGTGTTTTATAGTTTTCTGAGTACAAGTCTTTCACCTCCTTAGGCAGATTTATTCCTAGGTATTTTATTCTTTTTGTTGCAATGGTAAATGGGAGTGTTTCCTTAATTTCTCTTGATTTTTCGTTGTTGGTGTATAGGAATGCCAGAGACTTCTGTGCATTTTGTATCCTGCAACCTTACCAAATTCATTGATTAGTTCTAGTAGTTTTCTGGTGACACCTTTAGGATTTCCTATGTATAGTATCATGTCATTGGCAAATAGTGACAGTTTTACTTCTTCTTTTCCAATTTGTATTTCTTTTTCTTCTCTGATTGCTGTGGCTAGGACTTCCAAAACTGTTGAATAAGAGTGGCGAGAGTGGACATCCTTGTCTTGTTCCTGATCTTAGAGGAAATGCTTTCAGTTTTTCAGCATTGAATATGATGCTTGCTGTGGGTTTGTCATAATATGGCCTTTATTATGTTGAGGTAGGTTCCCTCTATGCCCATTTTCTGGAGAGTTTTTATCATAAATGGGTGTTGAATTTTGTCAAAAGCATTTTCTGCATCTATTGAGATGGTCATATGGTTTTTATTCCTTAATTTGTTAACGTGGTATATCACATTGATTGATTTGCGTATATTGAAGAATTCTTCCATCCCTAGGATAAATCTCACTTGATCATGGTGTATGATCCTTTTAATGTGCTGTTGGATTCCTGTTTGTTAGTATTTTTGTTCAGGATTTTTGCATGTATGTTCATCAGTGATATTGGTCTGCAATTTTCTTTTTTTGTGGTATCTTTTTTCTGGTTTTGGAATCAGGGTGATGGTGGCTTCGTAGAATGAATTTGGGAGTGTTTCTCCCTCTGCAGTTTTTTGGAAGAG